TCAGATGTCCTGCTTTTTGGCAGAGAGCATGAGTAATGTCAAGATAATTGAAATCCTACATCACTATCATGTCATGCCTCTATATAAGTTTATGATGTTTCTTCTTTCTGTTTAAGTGTTCCTTAGTATACTCCAATGGCAACATGTCCATTTCTTGGATTTCCCTTTTAATATAAAATACTACCTTGCCCACATTTTTTTTCTTCTAGATAACATATATCCAAATATTCAGGTTGCTATTCCTTATTTGGTGCAATCAATCACTAGAGCTAAGGTTCAAACAATTCTTACTAGTACATTCAGGTAGAAGCATTTCTTAAGGTGATTTAAAAGCAGTCCAGAGGATAAAACAAATAAATGTCACCACTAGTAAGAAGGTTAAAAAGCAGTTGCCAAGGTTAAAAAGTAGCCAACAAGTTTTCTGGGGTTTCAGGAGCTTGCCCCTTAAAGCATTTAGCACAGTGCCTGACACATAGTAGGCACTATATAAATGCTTATTCTCTCTCCACCAATATGCTAAAAACTTCTTTTATAGTCATCTTCCATTAAGTTTCTGCAGCTGAATCCCAAATACATTCACCTGAAGGCAAAATTAATCCCAAGCTCCCCAGATCAGCATCACAACATCCTTCTTTACAAAGTCTAGACTGGTTTTATGGGAGTGGAAGGGAAGAGAATGGTTAATTCACATCTCCTCAGTTCTACGAATATTCTGACCCACAACACCAAGAGAGATAGGGTGGCACAGTGGAAAGAGTTAACTCTAATGTTTACTACCTGTGTGACCTTGGGTATTTAAACTCCTGATTCTAAAGCTTCTTCACCTGTAAAGTGAGGGGAATAGACTAGAGGGCCTCTGAGGTGCTTTTCAGGTCTTTAAAATTACAGCCTTTATTCTAGCCTTGTGTTCTAATTGTATCATGAGGTGTGAACAGTTTAATTAAAATATAGAAAGTAAAATGCTTTGACTCTCTCTCTCTATGTGTGTATATATATACAGAGTATACATATGTGTGTATGCAAATATACACATTTATGATAAAGTATAGCAAAATAAAATGAGTAAAATCATTCTTAGAATGCTTTATGGCAAAATGGAGAAAGTAGATTACTGATTTTTTTTGTAGGTTACTGAATCTTAAAAATTAAAACAAGGAGAAAGTTAAACTAAGGAAGAGAATCAGCAAAAATTAAACCTATGGAGGATTTACTGGAAGTAAAAGAAATGGTGATTAATCACTGCTCATAGCTTAGCTTAACGGATAGAGTGCTGAATTAGAAATCAGACCTGAATTCTAATCTCATCTCGACACTTAATAGCTATGTCGCCTCACTAAATGAATGACCTCTCTCAGTCTTACTATCCTCATCTCTAACATAGGGATAATAACAGCACCCATTTCACAGGGTTGTTGTGAGGATTAAATGAAATGTGAGTAAAATGTTTTGCAAACCTTAAAGTGCTATGTAAATATTAGCGATTATACTTTACTGCTTTTATCAGGTCTTCAAAGGCTCTGCCTTGAGAGAGAAAGCATGGAGTATGGCTAGAGAACTAGTTTCAAAATCAAGAAGACTTGGAACCAAATACCATCTCTGACACATACTGGCTTTCTGACCCTGAACAAGTTATTGGATTTTTATATTTCTAAGGCTATAAAGTGCATAGTAGTTGCTGATCTGCTTTAGTAGGGAAAGTTTACTCCGAGTGTTCCTTCTCTGCACCCTTGAAATAATAGGTCTAGTTCCCCTCCCCTTGCAAAATCCTACAGAAACAAAAGTTATGTTTTGAATAGTTCTACTAACGCTAAGAGGTGACGAGGCTCACTGGGAGGAAATTATACTTAAGGTTACATCTTCTGACAGAATAGACACTACTAGACACTACTCCTTTCCCCCATCTCCATGCCCCTCATTTTAAATGCAATACACAGATAGAAATAATCCCAAGTAAAACTATCTCTATATTATATCTTTCAAATTCTAGCTTAATTTAGTATTCCAGACAACACAAAGCATCAATTATATTTGGGATAAATTAGAATTATTTTATCAAAGTGAACATTACAGATAGTAAGTTTCTAAATAAATGGCATGAATTTATTACCTGTTTCATTTCTATCTCCAACCAAGGAGCTTTTCATGAATCCCTCACAGCTTTAGGTATTATTCAAATTTTTTAGTTTAACTTTTATTACAGTTTATAACAGTTTTGACTATCAAGATTCAGAACCTTACCACTTTCTAGGGAACTAATATAACATTCTAAGGATAGTTCTCCAGATACATAATTTCATTATTGGCTGGCTATTCTATTATTCTTTCGTGTTATACTTAAAGCAGCATTTCAATTATTCTATTGATTGAAAGTCCTATTTTCTAGTTTATATTTTTCTACTGATGGTGAATTTTTCAGACTTATTATACTTTTATAATAGAGAGTATTTAAATAATCTAAATAACTATCAACTGACATATTGGAGAAAATTATTTTGTGAAAAGAACTAAATGAGCTTTCATGATGCACCACTGCTAATATGAGCATCCCTTTGAAGCTTGAAAGTACATCAAGGTAAGGAAAGCAGAGGTTTAAAAGAGTGTCAAATACAACTTTCAAAACGAAATTCAAATCAGAATATTAAAGGACTAGAAGCCATGAATATACCACACCAATGCATGTGAAAGTACTTTGTAACTTATGGGTGGCGAATGAGGCCTTCATGCTACTTCCCCGTTTCTTTACCCTACTTCCTAGACTACTGCCCCCTTCCCAGTTCTCTATTATATGTTGTCTTCCTCCATTGGAAGATAAGCTCTTTAAGTTCTTTTAGCATTGTTGCAGCATTTATGGTACAGAGAGCTTAAAGCACTTAAACACTTAGGCTATCCCAGCGTTACATGGCTAGTAAGGGTCACAGCTGGGATTTCAACATATGCATACAAACACATAGAGATAGAATAATAGATGAATGTAAATATACATTGTGCATATATATATATAATAGATATCTAGCTATATATTCTATATACATATATGTACACATATGTAAATATATGTGTATATATATTTATATTTTTATAATACTTTAAAAGTGATTTTATTCTTCCTGATGGGAAAAAAAACAATAAGACTCAAAAAAATATATTACCAGGTGTTCAATTTTTCGATGATAAGCCTCTCTAAATTTTGGTCTTCAGAGGACAAACATGGAGTGTTGCCAGGGCTATATTTCTTAGGACTATAGGTTCTGAAAAAAACTTAAGAAGATATCTATTCTAATTTCCTAATTTTACAGACGAGGAAATTGGAGCCCAAAGGGTTTAAGTGATTTGCTCACAGTAACAAACATAGGCAGTAAGTGTTAGAGGTAGGATTTGAACCTAGGTCCTCTGACTTCAGAGCCAATGTTCTTTCCACAGCACCATGTTGTTTCCCTACTTATAGGCCTTCTGGCTTTGTATGACCTGTCAAAACTTCTACTCAACTCATAACCTTGAAATAGCCTGAGATTACCTCTAATCCATGATTAAAACATTTAAGTTAGATTTTAATACAGAACAAAATGATATAATTTTATGTGCCTGAATGTCTCATATTTATAGTCTATATGGGTTAAATAGATGTAACCCTAAGCCAAAAAGCATAGCAGATAAAATATTGATGATAATTATTATTAATATTTAAAATAATAATAGTGTTTATGTAGCCCTTTAATCTTTCCAAAGCACTTAAAATATATAGTCTTATTAGCTCTGTCATCATTCTCATTTTACAGATGAGGACACTAAGGCTGAAAGGCATTAAGTCTGGGTCATTTAAACTCAAGTCTTGCTGATTCCAAGTCCAGCACTCTTGAATATGATTTAGAGAGACTTTTTTTTCATGAAATCCTAAATGGAAAAGATTAGCAAAATCCCTCCTATGATTGTGGCTGATATACCGAATAATGCTACCACATCTTTATTCCATGAATATCTTTATTAATCTAAAGTATCATACAGATGAGAGGCAGCAAAGTATAATGCAACCTGTTTTGTGTGGCCTAAGAGATACATTTGTAAATATAAAGTTTTATTGTATTTAAATGTTTTAAAAAACATTCTTAGTTCACAAGCCATACAAAAAACAGATGGCTGGCTGCATGTGACCTCCAGTTGGTCATTTGCCAACCCATAATGTTATAATGTATAGACTAATTGCCTCAGAGGCAAGGAGAATGAATTCAAGTCATCCTCTGAAACATACTGGCTGTGATGACTCCTGGGTAAGGCATTTAACCTTAGTATCCTAGGCAGCTCTCTAAGACTAGAAATTGTAGATAGGTGTTGGTTCAAATAGAGAGATTTTTTTCTCTTTGGAAGTATCCTATACCAATGACATCAAAGGTCTAGTCCACCCCACAAAATTATGAAGATAAAATAATATAATAAATGTAAAAGTATTTTCAAAATAAAAGCATAACTAAATGTCACTACTTTTATTAATATGTAACATCTAGTACTACAATCTACTGTTGCTATACATCTTCTCAATTGTTTTCAGTGCATGACCTATTCTTATATGGGTAAGCATTTATTTTTCTTGCTTATTTAACTCAAAATTAAGTGACAATATGACGCTATCACATATTTTTAAAATTATGCATATAGGAAAATACAGGAAGAAAATTAAAGTTCCTCAAAATGGGTGAGGATAAAAGAATTCTGAATATATAACTCCACAAAAATTAAGGATTTCCAATAGATTTGATAATTCTACATAAATTGAAATAATTCACTGCTATAGATCATCATCTCTATACCAAGTTTTTTTCTGAATAAGGTAAGATGCCTCTAAATGCCTAAATGCTGAAAACAATATGTAATATATGACAGAACTTACAAACATCAAGTTTACTAAACTGAATATATGTTCTGAATAATCTGTCTTGAATGATGTAAAAAACTTAATTCCACACTACTAATTATTTTTTTCACTATTAAAAAGAAAAATGCCTTGCCTTAGAATGGTAATCTTGTTCCAGTCTGGAGTCTGATCCTGCTACCTGTTTGTATTTATTAATTTTCATTTGGCGGTTTCTCTCCTCTATATCCATAGAACCTGGAAGTAAAATAAAACCCATACAATTAACATTCAGTATTGTTTATACCTAAAGTAATACATTTTCTAAAAGGATAAAAATTAGTCTGATATTTTTCCCTCAAGATACACTTTTCCAATGCTAAATTTTAGTCAGGTTCTGTTTCTATACAAATACTCATCCTCATCTTATGAAATAAGCATATGAATAATACATATGTGAAAAATATATTTAATAGCCTAATTTCTACAACATTCAAATTAACATAAATTTCAGTGCAAGGGACAGCCAAACAAAATATCATCAAGAAAGAATTATTTTTCTGGTACAGATATATATCCAGGAGAATGTTGTATATACCAACACATTTATTTTCTAAGGATTAAAAATTTCCAGTAACATTTTACTGTGAAGATTTGGAAGCTTTGTTAGTATCCAAATAGTATTGGCAAACAAAGTAATAAATTTGAGCGATATAGGTCCAGTTTACAAAGTTGAAAAATTATATATGAAAGTAATTAAAAAAAACTGACCCTAGGATTTATCATTTTGCTCGTGGGTATCAAAACAATATACTTCTATGGAGCACTTCAGAATACCACTTTCCAAGTGAGCCATGCTCAAAAAAGGAGAAAGTAGTGCTTGGCTCAGTACTCCTGGGAATACACAGTGCCAGTCAAAGCAGAAAATAAATAATTAAATAATCTTCAGTAAATAAACACAGAAAAAGAAAAAGATAAAGGGACGAGGTAAAAAACATATAGTTGTAGCCCTATTATGAAATGTAAGTTAATGCCAACAGGAACTGGCACTACTGCTGGATATATAAGCTATAGATATTCAAAGTAAGCATACAGCTTCTGATTGAAACAAAAACTATTGTTTGTATACTTTTCTATTGAACAATAGGATTTTCAAATGTGAAAAGACATCTTGTTTGTTAGCTTTTCTAAACCGGAAAACATATCCTTCATTCACAGGGCCAGTAGACAAGTTTTAGCATGAGAAAAGAGAAAATACTTGTTCCTATAAATATATACACACTAACTCAATTTATAAATAGGCACATGCACATATATACACACACACACACACACACGCACGCACACACACACACTCACACAAACACACACACATACACATACATACACATTCCCCCACACCTCAGCTGGGACGATAACTTTGAAACTGCAGTTAAGATATCAGTATCTCAGAAGTAGATAGATATTTTGCCACTCAGTGGTTTTAAAACATTAAAACAAGAGGAAAAAAAAGAAAATATGTCTATATAACAAAAAAGCTGCAGTCTCCATTCACAAAGACATTTATAAATTTAAACTTTTACTCTCTGACTTGACTAGCTTTATTACAAAGTAGAGAGTAATTTTAAATAGCAAATTAGATAAAATTTTTAACGTCAAAAGAAAAAGGGAGAAACTCATACAAGGATTAAGAAAATTTTGAAGAAGTGTTTAAAATGCTTATGTTAAAATGTAATTAAAGATCCTAGCAAATTTAAATCAACTCCAAACACATATAATACAATTGGTACATTTTTTTGACATGGAATGGTATAAAAATGGAAAATGTTTTAACATTTTCAGTTAAAAGATTAAATCTTTATAGTAGTCTTGTCTAATAAAATATTATTTTAAAATTTCCATGAATGGTAAGATAAGTGCATATTATAAAAATGTTACATTCAAGGATTTGTCTCAGTTAAGGTCCTGGAAGAAAAAGAGGGAACGGATAAAGTAGGGGGAAGAAACTGTGTCACAAAATGCAATGCTTTGTGTAGTAGAGAAAGTACTGGATTTGGAATAAGGAAGATTGGGGCTCAAATATTGGCTCAGATACTTAATAGGTGAGTGACCCTGGGCAAGTCACAACTTCTCTGGGCCTCAGTTTCTTCAACTTAAAAATGAGAGGTTTGGATTTGATGACCTTTAAGATCATTTCCAGTTTTAAATCTGTGATACTATAAAAACAAACCTAATCTAGTATAAAATATAAAATTTCTTATTTAATAACAAACTGAAATTTATAAAGTGAAACTAAACATTCTTATGATGTAGTAATAAGCCAATACTTTATATACAGTAGCACTTCGATAAAACTGAGTTTAAGTTCTTTACACATGATATACCAAGATTATTACTTGAAAGTAAGCCTTTTTAGAGGTTGCATTTACTTATTGTGCTAGCAATTGTAGGGTCAGGTAGGTGGTGCAGAGGATAGAATGCCAGGCCTAGAGTTAGGAAGACCTGAGCTAAAATCTGGCTTTAGACACTTATTAGCTGTGTGACCCTGGGCAAGTCACAACCCTGTTTTCCTCCATTCCTCATCTGTAAAATGAGCTGGAGAAGGAAATGGCAAACCACTCCCATATGTTTGCCAAGAAAACTCCAAATGGGGTCACAAAGAGTTGAACATGACTGAATTGACTGAACAATAATAACAAGCTAGCAATCCAGAAGACTGAATAAGATGAAACAGCTTCCCAAAGTGCGTACATACTTCAGGGAATCAGAGTAGGAAACTGTGGGAATCTGACTTATTGCATCATTCATTCTTTTGATATTTCTGGAAGCTATGAAAGAGGAATGACTAATTAGCCACAATATTTTTAAAAGCAAAAGCTGAAGTGCATTCAGGAAAAGTATTTTTTAAAATTATTTTTGGTCCAAAAATGATTTCTTTTTATGTATTATAAAAACTCCTAGAATAGAAGTTCTCTTTAAACAAGGTAGATTGGCACTTACTTGTATCCTATATTCATAGCTATCTGGGGCACTGAAGGCTTGTCACTTGCCCCTAAGTCACAAAGCTTGTGTTTGTCAAAGGTGAGACTTGGAACCAATCATCCTGATTCCAAGGCTGAACCTCTGTTCATTGCACCACAGTACCTCTCAATTCAGGGGAAGAGATGTGTACACCAAAATACAAGCCTGATTCTAGTCCTATTAAATATCTTATTATCTAGTCCTATTAAGTAACAATACTGCCTCTCCCTAACTGGTTCTACAAGTAAAAATTGATGGATAGAAAAACCAATGAATCTTTTATTCCATTAATATCATGACAACTATGCCATCCAGATATTCCTCAACACTGTAATTTTAAGATTTAAGAGAAGAGGTACAGAGTCCACAGGTGTGGAACAGTACCTATGAGGTCAGATTTTCTATAAAAATCTAAGCCTGATTTTTGGTTCAAATAATACAGCTTCTATCCCTATTGCCTTCAATTTTTATAGACACTTAGGAACAACTTTAACTCTCATTGGAGGGAAATTCTATTAGTGCTTTGATCCTTATAATGGTTGGACTAGATAACAATTAAGTTGTTATTCAAAATTAAGATTCTATAACTCCAAAATGAATACTCATCATTTGGCAACTATTCATTAAGTGCTTACTAAATGCAAAATCTCTGAGATAGTCACTAGGGAAATGTCAATAGTCAAGTTTCACATTATTATAAATTAAAACCATAGAAATTTGCCACACTCATTAGTATAACCAAAGAAATTTATTTATCATTTTTAAAATGTTAAATATTTATCTTGAAACACTTTATGCTCTAAAAATGTTTTCAAGGAATCAGTGTCTAAATGTGCATGGATGTAGGCCCATTTTTCCAAGTAATAATCAAATATCATTTCAATAATATCCAAATTTGTTTTACTGATACCTCAGAGTTGATTTAAATTGTGCTGGAAATGTATGTGTGTAGGTATATACAAAAATATATACCTACACACATACATATATATGTATTAATCCTACCAAATGTATTCCAAAAATTTTAGCATTTTTATTTTATTTGTGAAAAATCCTTTGTCATGCCTATTCCATTAACTTTTCCAATAGTTTTAAACTCCGTGAGACTTGTTTCTTTGATACCATCTTATATTTTTAAATAACAAAAGTAGAGAAAATTAACTCTAAAAATGTGACTGTATTTTTGGGTTCAGGTTTCAAATATTTTAATAAAATAGTAAACACCTAAAAGAATCTCAACTAGTGCAGGTTTAATTCCTTCACATAAGAATTCCAGTATTTTGTTGATCTGATTTTTAATATTTTCCGAAATTATGCAAGAATAACATAAAATATTTATTTTTCCTTAACTAGATATGTCTAATTTGGGTATTGGTGTATTGGAATTACACATAGGTAATCTGCAAGGTTGCTCAATTTTTAAAAATCAACAAAATACTTCAACAACTATGTAATATTTGTTGTAGGAAATTTTACTTTAACAAAAAGAACTACATTTGGCTGCCAACAGTTTAGAATAAAAATGCAAAACTAGAAAAATGGCAATATTTATATGTTTTCATCAATGGAAAATTAATAATAAATTTAAATAGCAACTACAAATGAATATTCATCTGTATATTGAGAATCATCAGATTAATTGTAATAAAGCAGCCACTGCTTAGCTAGCCCTATTTATGTGCTCACTGCAGATATCATAAGTATATAGACCTAATGATTTCTGCAGTGTTCTCAAAAAAGTGAAAGAAATAGGTGTGTTTTTCAAAAGCACACACAAACACACACACAATGCTCTTGAGGTGCCAGAGCAGCTTCATACCACACACTTCCTGGCAGTAGGGACACAGGTTTGGCAGTGATGTGATTCATCAGGAAGACTTCGGGGAACAGAACATGTTGATTGTCAAGGCAGGACAGATGACTCAGTAATCCTTCTCGGGATCGTAATTGAAATGCCCCAATCTGGGAATCTTAAGGAGAAAATCCTTAAGCCCCAAATACATGCTCACAGAAACCAAAAGAAAGACTAAAATGAATCTAAGTTAGATTCAAGAACAAGAATTTGTAGCTGTGGACCCAAGAGGATCTGTAGCTGTGGGTCTTCAATCACATACGCTATAGATATCTTAGATGGTTCAATCAGGTTGATTTTTTTAAATGAGCTATAAATCACGGGCCTAAGTAAAATTTTAATTTGAGTCAGTTGACTGGCATTGGTTGGATGAGACAATGAACTT